CGTTCATTACAGTAAAAAACGCACACATCGAATTGCATCAAGTTTCCCTAACTCAGCCACTGCTAAATTAAGGCATCGTGCAGATCATCTTGACATGCCATTTGTTTTTTGGACTAATTTAGTCACATTTCGTGGGGAATTAATTGCGTAGCATTTCTCTGCATAGAGTAAAACTTTACATTTCTGTCGTGCAAATCATACGCATCACACCGTCGGTACTGGACTCATATGTTCGTCTTTTTGTTACTGTGGATTATATTTCATGGTTACAAATGACGGATTTGCTTTTACTAATAACTAATTGCACCAACACTGCATCAAAAAGACGCTGTCAGATTGTTAATGTTTGAGGTAATCAATCGGAGTCAGAATCTTTGGTTAAATTATGTCAAGTCAAACAGGACGAACAATACACAAAAGTCTTAATCTCGGAAAAGAGCCAGGACCATGCATGATAAAAATTTTCTCCTCGAGAAGAGCTATGCGACTCACGTCATCGTGCTGCTTTTTCATTAATTTGCTTCATCGCCTTTTGAACTTTTTCGTTCTTCGATCGCCATTTGGGTCAAGCCGCAGACGCCACAGAAAGAACATACAGCTGCGGGCATAACCAGTGTCCCTGCTAAGGGATGGATTCCGTGAAACGCGTAACTTAGCGTGGTCAACACAGCGGTGGAAACTGCCATTAGGCCAGCGAACTGAAAGCAGAAAATCTATATAAAACATACTTCGATAATTGTGTCTCACCATAGGCAAGTTGTGACAGTACAAGAAAAACACCCTTGCGAACACCTGCAATCCGGCGAAGCCCGACAGTGCAGCGACTGCTAACTTCGAACCAGATGTGGTGAAACCTGAATAAATACAGAACAAAATACATGTATTTTAAAACTATTGCCAGTTTAGCATACATGACAAAATAATGACTGCAAAAAATGAAAATTACTTAAAAACTCGCTATAGACTGCAACACACTTCGGTAACGCAATTTAGCTGAGTTGCGAAATCTATGCAGTCCGTTTAACCCATTTGTCTATATCTTCCCTTAGCCAATTCTATTGTTTATACTCCTCCTCTTTCTCCAGTACCGCCCATACTTCTGGTCTTTGCGACTTTTCCTGTTCTCTGGCACTGAATCAGTATGAATTTACAATATTTCAAGTTTTGAATAACTACAATGACTGCAATATATTTAACACTGTTGACAATGGAATAATATGCACGGCAGTGTGAACATGATCCGCCGAAGAATCAGACCTGAAAGTTGTACAGCAGACCCCTCAGGTACGTTGAAACGCCAATGATAAATGTACGCAATCAACGCCTCACTCCAAATTGCTCCACTTTTCTGAAATTCTTGGGCTAGATGATGGTTAGTGGGAGATCGGTAACAGTGTGAGACTTGGTAACCAGGACTGAATGTCGAAATCGTTAAAACGCTCGATAAAAAGCTGGAGGAGCATCTGCTTGCGTTAATGGGCAACAAACAATCAGAACAAGTTGAATAAAACATTCTAACAGTTTCAAACAATTTTCAAACGTTGTTTACATACACTAGCAGTATGCATTAGTGTACACACCGTACAGACACTAACACGTCGTATCATACTAAAATTAGATGCACTACTGTTCACTGGCTTTCGGCCCTTACATCAGTGGTTGCCAACATACCTTCGCTATGTTTGTAAGCCAGATATGTACCACAGCATACTGAAGACATCAAAACTGCTTCGCAAGTCGCTTGGCATTCAGAACTACTCTGCATCCAGCGCGGTTTCTTCAAGCTCTAAATGAGACAATTTTATTAGCAAAAAATTTAAGAAACAATATTATATGCACAGAACTGAATTAAATTTACGTCTACGCTTTGAACTGAATTTGTCGAAAATTTGGTAACTAAAGACGAATGGCAACCGCAAGGCACAGGTATGTGACAGTCTGTCAGTAAATATCGCAAACGGTAGTATGAGCAAACCTTAACATAATACTATCACACATCGCTGACCGACCTGTTACGAGTTTCTTGACTGGCAGCAGCAAAGTGAAGCGGAATGAATTCTTTGTTGAATACAATCTACAGTTTACAACAAAGTTTAACGAGCTGCTTGAGATTCAAAGCCGAAACATCTAAAGCGCAAAGCAGGCATGTATTGCGGCACTGCCCCATTGTGTACTGCACTGATAAACCACTAAATTAATAATGAATGATACACAACGCATTAATTCACGTCGAATTCACATCAAACCATATTAAACGTTGTTTGGCAACGTTCCTTTGTTTATAGTTGCCCACTGGGTATTTAAGCAGGCCACGGCTCCGTCCGTGGTATTTGAAACTCCTGTATTGTCGGATGCATCTCGTATCATTTTATTCACTAGTCACATAGCACTGTACAGCATAGCTGCGAAAGCCGATCTATACCTTAACGACGAGAAATCTGAAGTTATGAGGAACACATCAAACGGTTGGAGAACGAGAAGAGATGGAAGCCACAGAAAAAGTTGACTAGTTCAGGCATCTCTGCTGCATCATCTACAGCGGCGGCGTCATGTAATCAGAAATAAGCACGGCGATCTCCCTGGCAGCCAGTTCTGATTGAAACTGTCGATGAGAATAGGGAAACCCTCTACAAAAATCCGCTTTGCACTTTGCCTCTGCCAAGGAAGAGAAACGGTTGGGCATATAAACAGTTATTGTAACAAACCAGCAAGAACGACGATTTAACTGCCTAGAACAGCGTCTGGTTCGATGCATAATGACAGTTACATGGCATGACAATGAAAGCAATAGCCTTGCTCTCTTTCAGGATCAGGTGACCTAAATAAACATGGGGATTAAGAAAAGGGGGTTCGCTCTGTTAAACAAACTGATTGAGCATACACTATTTACATTTGCCCGGCCGCTTCTAGTATAGGAGCCGAAACACGGCAGACATCGACCAGGAGAACAACAAGCAAAAGACCAGAGGAGAAGCAGATTGGCCTGTGGAAAAGAACGCTTTCTTCTACGAGGCAATAAGTGACACCTAACATATACTCGATTTCGAGAGAGTTCGATCTGATAAAAAAAGTGACAGTTAAGTACACATATGAGGTTTCACTCTGACTGAACGGACGTCAACAGCAAGACTACTTCACTAAATTACTAGACGTAACTGCTCTTTTCAGTAATGTAGGTATCAACGCATTGGGTGATATCTTCCTAGACATTCTGAAGAACATGATGAATAAATGGAAAACATCGGAAAGCGTCTAGAGACCGCTGCATAGAGCATCTGATGCCAATCTTCCGCCGTGACGATAGGCCAA